GTCTTAAGGAAAAATGTATTTTCGCACACCAACTCAATGTTGCTATATTTTTTATTATTATTTCCTCCTTCCACCATCATATTTCTGTCAATCTGATGTAAACTTTTTGCCTGTTAGCAAGCTCTATATTGAACTATATTTCCAACATAAAATATGGAATGTCACCTGTAGGATAAAGTGAGACTTTAAGTTTCCATGACGAACTTTAAGCAAAATCTACAATTCAGAAAAGTCATGGATATAGAAGAGAATTGCATCAATTCTTTGCAACTTTTCAGTCAATTTTATTTCCAAATTTCTTCTCTCTATTCCAACTTTTTTATCACACGTTGAAACGTGGTAATAACAGTGGCAATAGTTGATTAATACTTGAATAAATTGTTCTTGAATAAGAGAAGAATTTCTTGCTTTCTAATTACTGTATTGATTCAAGTGGCAACATGACACTGCAGCAGACAAGAATATATACAAAATAGAAAATAACTAGGACACGTAACAAGTCTTAACAAAGTGCATATTGTTCAGTGGTAACAAGAGAAAAAAGGTAAATGTAAAGGTCACTTTGTAGAAAACTAAAGAGAACTGAGTACCAAGTGGTGGAGAAGATAAAAAAACATATGAATAAAGATACATACTTTCCTTACCTGTGTACCAAAAGCTACATTAAAATCTGAATGATTCAAAAGCTTGATAAATTCCATTTTAGCTTTCACTTCAAACACACTTATTCCAAGAATACTCTCTTTCTCCATCTCCAACTCATGTCGATATAAAACAAATAGACTCTATTGATACTCAATAATACGACTTTTATCAAATTTCCATTTTATAAATGGAATAATTCTGATTTGAATTTTAATAAAAACTTCATTTTTTTTAAAACCAATATAAGAAGTTAATGAAAAGCCTTAATTATAAAATCAATTAATAAAACTTCAAGTGCAGATATTATTTATAAATGTTTAATACTCAAATTAGACTTTCATTATTTGAGGTTGAAAAATTTCGATGATACTTCAGCTCCAAGTCACGTCAGTGGGGAAAAAAGGCCGAATAAATTGACGCATGTAGTGGTAAAAATGTATGAATGCCAAGGTAGCAACGGTATTAGTATAGTCGTGAGAGTAGTAGTCGACAAACGGTAGATGCACGTCCCCCGGGTAAATCGATGGAGCGCCTCCTCTCAGCTACCCTTTTTCTCTATCTCACTTCCACCTATCTCATCCTCGTGCCCTCTTTTCTTAATTTAACCAATACCTTCCTTCTTTTCCATTCATACGTATTCAGTAATGATGACCTTTGATCATTTCTATTTATCTACAACTCAACGAATCGTACTTGAAAATTTATCATAAGTTTATGCTTTATTTACTATTTTTTTGAAATTTTATTTTCATCTAATTTTCATTACATATCAATTTATTTGTATATAATATCAAAAGGTAGCATATATATATAAAGCACTCAATTTATTTTTTAAAATTAATGATAAAAAACAACTACATCATATGAGATTTCAGTAAGGGGTTTCACCAAAGTTCAATCTTACCATCAAAGGTACCATTCTCATAAGCAATATGTAGTTTCTGAAAAAAAAAAATAATGTTCATTAAAAAAAAATTTATTCCTCAAATATTTTATTCCCTACTTTTTTTCAATGTGCTTTTTTTCGAAATATAAAATACTCATCATCCCTATTTTCTATGTAAAAAAAAAGGGAATAAAATTTGCAAAAATACAGAAATGATCTAAATGTAGAACAGATTGAAATAAAAACCAACAAAGAAAAATTTATTAACAATAATTTGATATTAATTGGATTTTTTTTTTCTAATTGAAAAATTGAATAAATGATAATTAAAAAAAAGTTAATTTAACGTATGTATAATCCATCAATGTTGCTATCTTTATCCAATTTCTCTTCATAGAAGTGAATGCCTTGCGGCAACAATATATAACGGATGATATTCGCATCTGCCATAACCCTTAACGATATGAGGTTTGAGGTTTCCTCAGCATGTCTTCAAGCCACAGTGATTCTCTCTCACTAATTCTCTGATGCATACTCCAATTCATTGAGTTATTCACTGATGGAGCTTGGAAATCTTCCTGGTACATTAATTATTAAAGAGGCTACGTGATTTATATCCCAACTTCAGCTCTTTTCCTTCATTTATTCAGGTTCCAAGCTTTAACTCATAATTTTTCAAAAAAAATGCAAAATATCAAGCTGATCCATTGTGGAGATCTGCCCGAAATAATCATAAAGGAATAATAAAGAGATATTAACAAACTATAGTGGTTCATTAGCATGTATATATTGTTGTCCCAGTAATTGGGGTCTCAGCAATTAAATTCAGCTTTTCACAAACACAAAAGCCTGCTTCGTGTTCATGACTTTCCATCTTCATTCGTTTACAACCTGTACCTAGTATTCACTGAATCTTCTGAAGCCATTAAACGATAAAACACATACAATTTATATATAATATAGTAGAAGCTATGCTCCTGAGGGGTTACTCTTATCTTTCTATAGTTTTTTCCCTCTTTGGAAGTCTAGAAAAGCGGTTTATTTTATTATAATTCTAAAATACACCTTTAAAGACATATTTAAAGTGTTCAAAGAAAACTAAAGCTGGTATATATCACTAAGTCAAGGAAAGGAATAACGTCCAATTGATAACACAATATTTCACTTGAATTGTTTAATATTATATCCCATTTTCTATGAAATTTATATCAAGGAGAATAGTTACGAAAAGTTATGAAGACGTGGGTTACATTTTGATCTATAATTAATAGTGTCATTAAATTTCCTATTTTATTGGAGAACTTTAATACAAAATGAATTATTAATTGAATCCATAAGAAAAATAGCACTGCTATTTAATTGTTTTTATACAATCATTCATTTTTCATTTAATTACCATTTTTATTTCTCTGTAATTTTTATTACTGTCATTTTAGAATACTTGAAAGTATGGTAAATGACTTCAATTAATTCTGGTTATGTAAAAAAATTTAAAAATATTCAATTAATCTTGTAAGCCAAAAGAAGCTTCTCTAAATGATGCTTGAAAAACATTAAAAGCTCCAAAAGTAATTAATGTAACTTTTCAAGACTTCTAAAGTACTCAACAAGCTTTTCTTAGAATGTAAACCTCAATGGAGATGTTAGCGGGTGTTATCAGACAAATTAAGAGTATTTCCTCCCAAGAACATTCTCAAAGAAGATGTTCCTAAGTCATCTAATGAGATTTAGAAATATCTTCCTCAGGATTGTGTTGAAGAAAATGTTCTTAAGTTATCTGATGATACGAGCTGGGAAGGTGTTTTTTGCACTGCTGATCAAGTCTAACTTCGTACTTTTGTGGAGACTAGATCTTTGAAGTTGGTATAGGAAGGGCCAGTTATGTAACTTGATAAGTTGACTGAAAGTCTAGAATAACTTTTCCAACATAGTATCAAGAGTAAGGAAAACTGGAGCAAAGATACTTAAAATTGATCACCTTGAAGCCATATTTATTGAACAATTATTATTTGGTTTCTGAGGAGTCTTTAATAGAATGAGTGATATTCCTGTAAAGAGGATTAATCTTGACTGGATCAGCTTTACGTTTAGGTGAGGTGATGTGATGTCATGTTAGTCGTGCATTCAACATGAAACTTGTACTGTACACATGTCAGAGTAGATCCTAGAAGTGAAATGTATTTACTGGAAAATCATTTGTTTCCAGCTTGTAGCTCTAGTTCATAGAACTAGTCCAGGTGGAAAAAGAAAGAACATCCTAGAAATGTTATCGTTCTCAAACTTAATCAATTACATTACTAACAACTAATTCTCTACAATAAAATACTCGAAAAAATTTATTGATTAAATGAATTTATTATTTTTAAATAAAACATGGTAGACCAGACCATCAAACTTGCTTTTAGAAATGTCATTGCTTGTTACTGATTTTTAAATATTTTTCAATGAAAGAGTGGCTACAAATATTGAAATAAAAACATTATTGAATAAATTCTTGGTTGTTAACGAAAATACTAGTCAATTAAAGAATTTGAAGTATATTTTTATTTGCTTATCAGCTGAATAAATATTGGTGGTTAAAGTTTAGCGCTGAACGATGTAATAATCAATGAATGTACTCTAGGAACTAAGCTGATATTTTTTTAGCACTCGATCAGCTCTAGTTATTTTAAAAAATTTTTCCACCCTTTTATTTTAAATTCCCTATCAACCTTCCTCTTTTATTTAAAACTCATTTCATTACTTCAAAGGACAAACAGTTTTATTCACAGATTTGTGTCCAGAGTGATCTGAATGATGCGATAGGGGTTATGTAGATTTTGGTGATGATCAAAAGAACGATGATTACATAGATTACCTAGATAAATATTAATTCAAACCCTTTTGTTATCAGCCATCAAATACATCTACCATAATGAATAAATTCAATTTTTTCATCATCTCCAAAAGTATTCATTTAATTAAAATTGGTACTATTAATTTTATATAATATAATCCACCAGTTAATCAAAATGAAAGCTACTTATCAAACTTGGTTGGACTCATGTTGTGATTGAAATATATATATATTTTTACATTTTCAATCAACTCTTCAATCTCCAGCAAATTTTTAACATTGATGATAAGTTAAGCATAAAATGATGTTTGATGTAACATAATAATTGATTACATTCAAATTTATTCATACCAGAATGATTTGCTTTCATAACATTTAAGAGTATAAAAATATACATTTACAGTTTTTTTATACCATTTGAATGATAATGTTAAATTTCACTTTGTTGCAGCTGTGCCATTTTTTCTCATACGTATAGGAGATATTTTCAGCTGATAGCTTATGTAATATATTACAGGAAAAGGTAAAAAGTTATGATATATTCGCTAATATTCTTTGGTTATTTTTTCATGTTGTTATTAAAGCTTATCTTTATTCCATTCTAGAGCTCCTTCCAATTCCTGGAAACTCGGATTTTCTGGAAATCAATAGCACTGAGGTGAGTTGAATAAAAATTAATTTATTTTCTACTATTTTTTTTTTTGCAGTAGAATGAACTTTTTAGCATTAAATAATTTAGTTAAAAGAGTGACCTGCATGTTTAAAAACCAGGTAATTTTTTTCAAGGATGTTGTGATTATTAATTGAGCTTCTTTTTGTTATTACAATTGTTCTATTGGGATAATATATGATAAAAATATTTTTAGCTGTAGCATAAATGATTTTTATTGTAAGAGAATAATCTAAAACACTTATATTTCTAGTCGTTATCGACATTTTGGTAGTGAAACTTTCACTTGATGGTTTATTTTATCGATATCGATCATTGATCACTGATCACATTAGCTCAGATATACATGTCCACAGTCACGTAATCTATCGTGACTTATTGTCACTGTATAAAAGTGCACTTTAAGTGCAAATGAAATTGTTTGGCGAGTTTAGGATGTCGACATTAGGGCAAATATTTTATCAGGGTCGTGTTCTCAACTTTTATTCTGATAAAAATCAAATTTATACAACTTTTGTATTATTAAAAATTAAAAAAAAAAAAAGCTCAAGGTCTTCTATTAACTAAACATTTTCATTTTTTCTTATCATTTATTTACAATATAATTGCGAGTGAAATTTTTTCTAAAGCGTTGGATATCGATAAAATGGTTTTTACAATATGTCAGAACAAAACTGTGTGACATTTCTCCTTTCAAAAAATTTCCAATATTTTTAATTTAATTTTCCCTTGATTTTTTCTTTACCTACATTTTTTTTTTTTTTTGTGAATGATAAATTTTTTTTTCAATAAACACATATTAGTTTTAAACTCAGTCCATATGGAACGATGAACAAAAAACATAGGAAAAAATAAAATGAAATCAATTTTAGATGAAAAATTAATATTCGTTGGAACATTGTTCTGTCATTTTGATTAGTCACTATTTATAAACTGAAAATTCTAATTCCTAGTGTTTTTCCAACTAAAACGTTTCCATTTGCATATATCTGAAAATTGGATGTAAATAAAATCGAATTCACTTCCCAAAGGTGAAAGAGTGATAGCTCTCACGCCTGAAGTGAGTGCAGTTAAATTGAAATGAGAGAAGACAAAACAGACATGCACTTGGCATCATACTTTACTTTATCTCTTGATTGTTAAGCCACAAGTACTATCATTCAATTCATCTCGTTATTCTACAAACATTTCTTACATCTCTGACATCACATCTCAATTCACTATTTATTTGTAAATGTCTAAATAATTTGTCAATATATATTCTATTAATCCTAGATGCTCATGTGATTTACGTCATTTCAAATGATTGCACATCGAAAATAAATCTATCTGGGAATGTAGAGGAGATATGAAATGAAGTGCTGCACTTGCTATTTCTACTCATTGTCAGCATCAAGAGATTTAGCGAAATCTCTTGACCCGATGCTATTAAAGTGTTCAAATTGCGAATTTGATATCGTAAATTATAGAGATTGGTGTGTTAGATTACAATAGTTGTAACACATACTCATCTCTTAAAGATAAACTGCTAGAATTTGATGAGGTGTTGAATGACTTTTGGCCTCACATTCAATCCCTCTTCCTAATTACTGATAATTAAACCAACAAAGTTTGATAGATTAACGATTTCGATAATACCTTCCGGTAGAGTATGATAAGAAAAGTTGATGGAAACTATTTTGATAATAAACGTTATACGGATATTAGAGATTATAGATTAATTATCTTCCATTTTTTAACATCACTTTAAATTGTTTTATAATTAGTGAATAAAAATATTGTTAAATATATTTATGTTGTTGGATTTTCTGAACAAAAATAAATCTCAATTTATTCTTTATTTATTTAACAACTTAGTTTTAAGTTTAGGAAATATAAACATGTGTATTTTTAATACATATTTGTAAGGACTCCAAACTATTCCTCTTTATTTTATTACTCTTTTTAATATATAACCTTAAGTACTTGGGTCAGTCAAAGGACCCTTTGATTTTATTCAATATTATGCTACATACTGCAAAAATCTGTAAATATGAACAAAGAAGAAAGGATTGGTTATTTTTACTGTAGAGTAATGTTTAAGAATATTTTTAGTTAGTCTTAGACAAGTCTCTGAAGGATACTGATGAACTTCTCAGCACAATCCGCTATCGTTAAATAAAGTATCCATATTTTTTTTTAAAACTACAAAACAAATTTAGTCTATATTGAATTAATATTCCTTGACCATAATCCTGAATTTGCAACATGGGTCTATCTATAGATGGATTGATAAACGACAGAGTTGGTTGATAGCAACGTGCGACTGGTTTGTTTTATTTATATTTCTGACTGAGACTAGCACAAATAAGACGTTATATTTTAGATTCTGTATTTGAATCTGTCATTTTTAATAAACATTCCTTTTAAATATATTTGTCTTCATCTTATATTTTACAATATTATATTAACTTCTGACTGGGAAGTTATAGTAATGGGTTCGATTTTGCCAATCCCAAATTTTAACATATCTTTTCGTTTCAAGATCCTTAGAATCGAATACAACAGCTTTTAAGTGGACGTCTGTGTGTGTTTATATTCTCTAAAAATGAAACAGTAAAAAAAAAAATGAAATACACTGCAAAATCAGTGAATATAATACAACTGACTCAATCAGTGGTTCAATTTACACTGCGGTTGTATTCCAACGAAATTTATTTAAGTAATTTTCAATTTACAAAACAATTGTATTCTAGCTGATATTATTCGTTATTTAATGTTTAAAGTAAGATCATTTTTAACAGAGATTTAGAATAGACTTGTCGAAGGAAGAATTGTAAGTGAGCTGTTTAGTTATAAAATGATAATCGTATTTATATTAGTGCATGGTGTGTATTAGGTACTATGGTTGATGGTAGGGCAAAGGTTCCAACGTAGAAAGTTGGAAAATTTGGGCGTTAAGTCAGTGATCTTAGTTTTATTGCATTTCTTTGAAAAAGTCATAAAGTTAAAAATTTAGAGAATTTTCAGTAAGAATTAGAAAGTTTAATAATTTTATTAATAATAGTTTTGTTAATAATAATCTTATTATTAATATTGATAAATAATTAGGTATTCCAACACTGCAAAATTAATGAATATTCACTGATTTTTCAGTTTTTTTCACTGTTTCATTTTTAGAGAGTGCGTATGTGTGTTTGGAATTATTTTTCGTCTCAATTATTTCAGAATAAAAAATGATGTCAACGTGAAACCAATTGCATTCGATGCCAAATTACGCAACTTAAAACTGATTAGATTTTCAGCAAAATCAATCCAATCATTTTTTATGCAGAATCAAAAAACCAGAAAAAATAGTAAATTAGCTAAATCTTATCATTCTTTTCACTGGGAAGTTAATTGTGTGGAGCTTTCGGGTCGCACTCAGATCACTGATATTTTATCTAATGAGTCAAAAAGATCTATTTAGATCTTTTGGGGTTTCAATAAATTGATTAGTTTGTTAAATAACATTATAATAAATTGTTGTTATAAAGTTAAATTATTTTCGATAGTACATTTAAGGTAATCAATTACTTGGAGTAATAACAATCAATTTGGAATTTAATTAAGTCCATATTTATCAAAAGCATTGAGACTAGATCTAAGACGGATCTATTGCACCCTAGGAAACCGCAATTATATTGCTGGAGCGTGAGAAATCATTGAACAGACATTTGCTTGCATGTATGCAGATATATGTGCATATAAGTTTAGATATTTTGTTAATTAATATCTCAGAGATGAAACATCTAAGGATTTTCAATGAAGGAAAATCATTTGAGGAAATTTACCTTTTAACTTCAAAGTTTTTTTTAGTTACTTGGATAAACGTAACTATTTTGATAAAATTATCTGTAATCCCCTAGTATTATGTACAAGTTTGAAAAGGTTGGACAATCAATGTGCTAATTTTATAGTGATGTAGCCACTTTGAATTGAAAAATTTTTCATTGATTGTGAAAGTAAAAAATACTTCTTTTAAAATAAAAAAAAACTTTTTCTTTATACCCTGGTCGAAAGTAAGTGCTTTCAGCTTCAATTTTGAGGCAGAAAGCCTAACATTTATGCTTTGCTAGAAACACTTGCGCGCCATCTACAACAGCGGGCCGGAAGAAGCTAACAGCGGAACGAAAGAGTTTTCTCGTGCACACTGATACGTAAAACTGCCGCCAGTCAGTAGTAGCTAACAACTGTGATTGCATATAACCTCAAAAGTTATCAGTCTTTTTTTTTAATGAAGTTGTAGTTGTTATTTAATGATAAAAAAGATGAATGACAAATTAGAGAAAGATTAATATTTAATAATATGACAATTTTATTACATAACTACTCAATATTAAATAATAATATTCTATTCTATTCGTTTTTTTTATGAATTGATGCCTGCCCCCCGACCAGCAACACTTGCTTCGCTCGTGCCACAAATTTCGGGGCAGGCATCAATGTTTTTAGATGCAATACATATAATTTTTTCCGTACTTTCGACTGGCTATAAAGAAAAATAGTATACACCACACGGAGAGAAGTTTGAAAGCCTTAAACTGCGCGTCATGGTGCGCAGTGCAGGAACTTCAACTTTCTGCCCTTGTAGTGTAATATACTATTTTTTTAACCATCATCTTTTATTCAAATCATTCTTCTGCTTATGGATCAGCAAATTAATTTGAATCAAGATGTCTTTCTTAAGAAGCAGCTTTTTTTCTTTTGGTCTAAGAACTTTTATTAAATTTAAAAAAACATTGAAAATCTTATTTCTAAGCAATTCATTATATATATTAATATTATAGTATCTATTATTAGACTTATGTGTGATTTACATTTTTAAAGCTTAATAAAATTCTTTACAACAAAAATTTACAATACTTCTTCCTAAGAAAAGAATTCTTAAAATTTTTTTATCTGAAGCAACAGGCTGATGTCATTGTAGAGTTTACAATTTCTTATACACCATCAATCTTAGACTTATT